TAAACTGTGCAAGTAAGAAGTACCTTTAACCAATTCCTCCCACCCAGCTACAGACCACGACCACATACAGTCCTTGCATCAGACTACATAAGATTTCATTCCAGCCGTATCATTCGCGTAAGCTGTGCAAACCCATTTAAATCAACAGGGCTTTCAGGAATAAAAGCAGAATCCAACAGCAGTTAAGCCACATGTTTTACAACTGACAATGTAGTACTTTCATCACTGATGACAGCACCATAACAAGAAAGAATGGGTCTTTATTGTCCTTAACGAACTTGAGGGGCTGCAAGAAACCAGTGAAGTTATTGTCACTATCAGTGTCATTTCCAGATCAAATTTCCAGCCTCCTGTTAAGACGACCAAATACAATTTTGATTTCAGATGATGAGCCATCACAACACTACCTTAGCTAGAGTATAAAATCTCATCACTAGTTTCTCAGCTAGTTTAAGTCAGTGTATTCTCCTGAAGTCAATGAAACCAGACACACCACCACATGAAAGAAATCTTTCAGTGTGCCTCAGACCTGGAAAAATATCTCGAAAAATGTCCATAATTTCTAATACAAACTCGCTATTTCCCATGACCTCTCAACATTGAGCAGTAGTAAGACACTAATATTTATTTTCAATATATTTCTTACTTAACATTTTTAATTTGAAAAGGTGCGACTGATAAATAAGATTTTCACAGTCACTCACAAAAATTAATAAGCAAGTGCATTTGTTCGAAGATTTAAATTACGGGAATAATTTAAAGACTATCAAAGAGCTACAAAATAAAATAGATACATTTACCTACTAATGTGGGAAATTACAGACAAACTTCATGAGATGACCAAGGGTGCAGAGGATAGGCGAAGGTAGAAAAACAAAAAAATCCCCATGAATTCTATGGAAAAATGAGTGAGCAACCCACAACACTGGCAGACAACAGACTTTTTATCCCCACTTCCTCCACCCATTCTTCTTCTTTCTCTTTTCTTGTTTTTAAAGGAAATAATTTCTCCATTGTGAAACATATTGTCAGGGATGCAGCAAAGGCCAAAAGTTTAAATGAGTTCAAAAGAGGGTCAGCCAAATTCTAAGACACGTGCCAACACTACCACTATAGAAAGGATCTACATCACTTTGAAATGCAAACAGCTGTTTTGATAATGACACATATTACTCGCTAAATTCATCTTTTACCCTGTTGCATAGTTACTAATGTTGAAAAGAGTCACTGCCATGAAAGAAATGCAACTTCCACCACTTTGTGCTTGGAGAGAACCATGGCCTGTCAGCTCACGGCCATGAAGTCTGACAACTTACACATTTCAGCTGGACACCAAAAAGTTCTGAGGTGGACTGCTGACTCGATTCAATAGTCGCAGCTGATGTAGGAACATATGATAAACCTTGCTTATGTGCCTTTAACTGATGCTCCAAGTATTTTAAAGTCTTCAAGCAGGTTACTAGCTTGATTACCCTTCATACAAAATCTTCCTTCAAGTGCAGGTTTCTGTTCTTTTCAGATTCAATGCATGAAGAGACATCAAACCACTGAAATCAAGTGCAAATTTTTCACTAAACTTGCAGCATCAGAAACTGTCCTCAAGTCTGTTTCACTACGCAAATGCTTCATTCTTCAAAACTTTTTTTTAGCAAGTGTTAGTAATGCTGCACCACAGACTCTCTCTCACAGTCACACACGTTCTTCCTGAGACTGTTATGCAACTTACTATTTTAAAAATCACCATCATAACTGTGTACTTGATAGAGGTTTTCCCCTTTTTCAAGTTTGATGATAGGGAAAAGCTGCAAGTACTACAAAACCAAGCAGACTTGCTTGTTCTTGCCAAAGAGAAAAAGATTAAGCATTATTAAAAAATAAGACTATTACCTACTTTTAAGTATCCATAAAGCTATGAACATGAACTGTATGATAGCTTGTTAGCATCGATATTTGAACACAGACATGCAAAATGCCCATCAGTTGAATTCCAAACTCTATGAATTCGCTGCTGGGCAATTCCCCAAGGATAAAACATATATTAAAAGCCAACAGTAAGCTAGAAATCTCTTTCCATTTCATGTGGCAAAACAGTACAGTGAATCCTGAAAAATGGAATAGATATTAGACAGGGAAAGCCTGTATAGTTACAGGGCAAGCAATAAAACATTTAGTGTTTTGATTCCTTTTATTATTTATTTCATCAGAATAGCTAGACAAATATGGAAACATTTGCAACAGCAATACTCTGGTCACTTTAAAGTCTTGATAACACTGAAATACAGGTCATCAAAAACTAAGGATGTAGGAAGGGTACTTTAGGCCTTATTTTCACACACACACACACACACACATATATTCACTCCACAACTCCAGCTATCTTAACTATGCCTGCAAGTAAACTGAAATAGTAAGTAGAAAAGAACCATCTCCATACTGAGAGTTAGCCATGCAATAAAACTAAAGATCACTGCAACCAGTGCCATCCTAAAGAAGAAAAACAAAAAATACCGAAAGGAACCATCACTGTGCATGTCATAAGCATGAAGAAGTATTTTTAACTTCATGACTATCCTGCTCTAAACTAAGTATCATCAACTGCTACATATTTTTAAAGTCTAAGGTTATTAATTTAAATTACCCACTTGTAGTGCCACCCTGTAGTAGCATTCTGGAGAACACCACAGTGTCCACAAGTTCCACAGGACACCACAGTACGATTAAGCACTAGATTTCTAGGGGAGGAAAACAAAAAAAAAACCCACACTACTCATTCGACTGAAAAGCTTATTACCAGCACTTCCAAAGCAACAGGCTACAGGAATATTGAATGAAAAACAAACCAGACCCGCATGGAATGCTTTGAATTCTCAGCTCAAAGTTAAAAATCTTTCCTTTCAAATGATAAAGTATTAACAGCATTTGGATGCACAGAAACTGTCTTTAGAGTGATGCCTGCAGACCTCTGAGTCATGAATTAAAATGCCTTCTTAAGAGAGAACAGTCTCAGCAGTTCCTCTGGAGGGAGTGAAAAATACATCAGAGGAGGAGGAAGTGAGGCAATACCATGCTTTTTTTTTCCATAGGTAACAAGATCTGAGAGAACAAGATGTTTGTGCTGCCAGAATAAATACCAGAAAGAAACAAAAGAGTTTACCTTTCCCCTTGAAAAGTTGCTTCCGAGTTAAGATTTGCTTTTTTTCTCTCCCAAGCATGAAGCCCCTCTTCAGTTTAAGACTGTTTTCAAAATACTCAGTGAAGCAGAAGTTAAGTGCATGCACTGGAACATGTATAGAATCTTATTCTAAAAAACCCAACACAATACTGCTACACTGGCTAGAAATCTTTGAAGTGTTCTGATGAAAAGACTCAAGTTATTTGTAGGAAATGTTTTGAGCCAAATCCAACAGACGATGTGCCAACCAAATGTAAGTCAAAAAAAAATTTTTTTTTATTTGATGTATTGAAAAAAGCTGGAGAAGGAAACCAGGATAGAAATGAAAAACCATTCAAGGAGTCAATGGTATAGATAATCACCAGGCAGTCTAAACATTACAATTGCAGATCATATATTCAGATCCAGTGACACCGAAGTAGAACGCTCGCTGGGGGAGGGAGTCTCTTTCCCCTTTAATAGGCTAAAGCAAGAAGTCCTCACTGTATTTCGAGCTAAGACCCTGCTAGCAGAAAGCAGCTTGTCCGTCAGATAAAGCAAGGCAGAACTATCTAGTTCAGCAACTTCCTTGCAGTCTCTTGCTCCCGAGCCCCCTTCTTCAACTCTTCTTTTTTCTTCTGGTGACGGGAAGCAAAGCATGTCCTGTCTCTGTGAGCCTATACCCTGCTTGTCTATAGTAGCAGCACGCACCTGTGATTCCTCTCCAAAGATATTTACACATAGAAACCAGTTGAGCAGTGTACGATGAAAACATAAGCTGCAGCGGACATGATCTAGAATCACTTATTTTTTGTCCATCATGACAGAATAAAAACAGGAATTCCTTACTTTATAGAAATTATCCTAAAGTTGTAGTTGTTGCCAATGTGTACCAAGTTTTTATATCACAAGAGAACAGATGAAGTCAAAAGCATGTCTACTCTACAACGACTGCTGCAAAGTACACAAGCAGGCACGGGCAGCTCCCACTTTAATTAAGCAAACACAGCACCACCTAGTGGTGAAAGCGGAGTCACCACTGACATGAATGAGACTTCTTCCTGGTTGGGTTTTGCAGGGGTTTTTTTGGTGTTTGGTTTTATTTGTTTTTACCCCCTGAACATGATCTAGGTCTGGTCTGTCTGTCCTCGCTTACCAAATACCATTACAGTGCCTTTATTATAAGAAACTATAGCTACCAAGCAAAAGAAGTCCAAGAGAGCTGAACCTCAAGGCCAGCAGAACCAAGGGCTGCTGAGTATCGAACAGATGCATCCACTTTGAGGAGCCTTCAGAATTCTACAGTACTTTAACACACGGTTTCTGGTGACACAGCCTGAGGCGGTGCTTAAACAAATGATCCAGCTTAGTATCTGCCTGTACTGCAAAGAATAGCAACGTCTTGGCTCACAATTTGTGTTTTATATAGACTTGGGCTCTAAACAAATGCAACAGATGTAGAAAAACCGAAGAAACTAAAGACTGACAGCAACTGAAACATAACTATTATTTTTCCATCAACCAGTTACAAAACCATCTAACTCGTACACTTACATAACAGAACACAGCAACTAACAAAAACAAAGTCTTTTATTCAGAACAGATTAGTGTGTCTTTACAAGAAAGTCATGATTTGAACTTACAAAGTTAGCATTATCATTAGCGATGCACCCTTCCTGAAGAGCAAATCTTTGTCTTTCATCAAATGTCAACTGCAAGAGTGTGTAAACAAAAAAAACCCCAAAACAAACAAATAACCCACACCAAAACCCACCCACACTCATACCCCAAAAGTTCTATTTAGATTATATATATATAACATGTCTTCACAGATGACAACTGTATCAATTTACACTTCAGGTCCTTCACCTCCAGGAACCAGCTACAAAAGAGTAAGACAATTTTGTGTTAGTGGCATAGATTTGAGTTCTACAAATTCACATGTGACAGTTCTTGCTCTACAACATTTAAGGAAATGGAGACTTCATGGCAGACCACAAAAGTGGTTATTAGAGTCAATATCATCTTCCACTCCCAATAGGGGAAGTCAATTACTGCCAGAGAAGCACAGAAAAAAAGTCTCCAAAATATGAAAAATGTTTAGCAAAACACAAAGGAGTTCCTAGATAGCACACATTTTGGTTTTTGTTATTCACTTCAAAGAGATGATTCTGTCTAGAAACACTATAGCTCATTTTTAAAAGGACAAAGAACAGGCTTCCTTTCATGAAGAATTTCTCCAGTTGCTGATTCGTCCCCAGACTGTCACTATAGTGTAAAGCTGGTTTCCACTTTCCAACTTTTACTGCTAAGCAGAGCTCAAAAACTAATGAAGAGCACAAAGCCTTCTATAGGCAGCAGAGAGTAAAGTCAGCATACCATTCTTCTGTGAAGAAAGTAAAGAACTGAACAACAGAAAAAAAATACAAAAGGAAAAACATGAACAAGGGAAAAAAGAAGAGTATAACCATTCATTTTACTGATGTATTCTTAATAATTAGCTGAGCACTTCTAAAGACAAAGAGCTTCATTGCTTTTGGGACTGAACCAAGAAAACGCCTAAAGCATAGTATTCCTGATGTGAGAAGACGTGTCCCTAAAAGACACAAGACCTAATACAGAAACATATCTATGTCTTGCTGAAAATTTGCACTGCAAGAATCACCAGCTTTTGCTTCAAGGGCAGCATGCCACCAGCTTAACTGGACAGTAGTAATTTTATACCATACAAGAAGTCAGAACATGCACTATTTTTTAAGGATGCAGAACAATATCCAAAGGAGAAAAAGGCTTCAAAACTAAGTCAAGATGGCACTTGTTCAGACACACAGTAATGAGGTGCAAGGTAGGTAAGACAGGAAAATGGAGGTTATTCCTCATTCACACAGAGCCGACTTAAGACTCAAGTCAGTCTTCCTCTTCCCACAAAACGAGAAATGACCTTACGTAGGAAGTCCAGATTTTGTAGTCATCTATGCAGACAGGCAAAAAAACCACTGTGCGTCTGCTTCTGTGGTATTTAGAAAGTTGCAGAAATCAGCTTATCACAATACTTAATTACTGTTTCAGTACTGATCTACATACATCAGTACATGACAAACTAAAAAGCATAATGCTTCTGGTTTGGTATAACCCAACAGACTTCCAGAATTTTTTCATAGCACATAAAGGTACAGCTCTCTGGTCATCACATAGTATCATAATCGCCAAGTGACTTAAGCTTGTAAGCATCCAAACTGCTGCAAACACATCTACACATACAATAATGGATGAAATCTAGATGCATTCCACCTGCATACTTATGCAGCCAAACACTCACGAGTTAAAAGCCACTGTACGAACCAGCCCTACATAGTGGGTAACAAAGCCAGTGATTCTCTTGAACATCGGAAGACCAGAAAAACATTCAGCAAAATAAAATTCGGGCCATGTTCTTTTCATGGGGTTTTTTTTTGGAGGGTTTTTGTTGTCGTTGTTTGTTCATTTTTAAGCTGTAACATGTACCAAGCAAGGCAATAAGACCACTTTTCCAGCATCATTCATAAACATACAAGCCCCAGAAGCTACTTGCAAGTACCTTAGGTAATGGAACTGTCTGGTAAACCGAACTTCAAGTAGTTGAACTAAATTACTTATCGATATACAGGTACAGAAAATAAATATGTGTAGCCTTTTAATCATGAGGACTTACCATTGTTATGTTATTTCCATTTAGCAAAATCTGGTCTAGCTTTGTGATTCTTCTGCCCTCAGGTGTAATCTCACTGAAATAGCATTAGAAAAAGTAAGAACACATAACCGGGGACAACGATTACTGATTTCATTACACAACTGACATAAATCTCTGTATTAAGATGATGTTCGTTGAAACTAATGAATAGATTAGCCACACCGCAGCGCAATCTTGACAAATTGACCACCTAGGTAAAGAAAGTTACCTGGCAACTAAAAAGATACACTGTACTTTTCTGCTCAGTACAAAAAGATACAGATTCACCCTCTAAATCTTGGCAATTTCTTAAATATCACTGATACTCAAAATCCATTTCAAATACCAAGATGGCATGACAAAGCAATAAATACTTATCCTTAAGTCTGCTAACTTTTTAAACCTTTGCCTAGAGCTTAAGGAAATGTAATGCAAACAAACTACTGGGAAGTTCAACACAAAACCCATGCAAAATTAAGGTTATAAATTAGGAACCTGATTACAAGTATAAATCATGCAACAGCTACTCTTATGATGTGGCTGTCCTGAACAGATCACCATCCATAGTTTAAGTCCAAGTGTAAAGCATTCAGCTGGCAAGTATTGCAAAAATATAAAAACACTTTGCTTATGGATCTCACATATTTTTCCCCAGGAAACCGAACACTAAATACCAACAAGAGGCAGAAATAATACTTACAATTCTGTAACATCTTCTAACACCATATCTGAAAATACATTTTCAAGGAAAATAAGGCCCAGAATTTTAAAAATCAAAATATTTAAAGTAAATTTAAATATTTATACTGAACTGTGATTTTAGCTGCAAAATAAAAATACCAGAATAAGGCAAGGTCCACACAAAAAGGTGCTATCCAGTGAACTCGAACCGCTCCAAAGCGGTAAATAAATCGAGCCGAGGCATACAGTGGGCAGCCTTAAATATTTCCACCAGAGGATACTGACAAAGTCATCAAACCCCAGGAGCGTCCCAACAATTTCTTTATCACTCTTCATCACGATATGAATGCGTGAACCTATGCACTTGTCCACAAGTTCTGCAAACGGAAACAAAAAATCGAAAAGTGCAAGACATTGTTTTATAAAACAAGAAAAAAGACACAAAAAAAGTTAAAAAAAATAAGTTTCTTTAAACACTTCACTGCTGCTAGTGCACAAGGTTCCGGCCCCCCTCCCCCCTCCTT